TGTCACACCCCTAGACACCCAGGTGCTGAGAGTGGTGATTTCCAATGCCCCCTACACCTGTCTGATAGGGAGCTGGCTAAGGGACTCAAGCCCTTGGGGTTCCTATGAGTTCCTTTTGCCGACTAATGATTGGAAGCAAGGACCCGAAGCTGAAGCATATCCTGTCCTTTTGGAGGCAGGTCTTCATGCTCGCAAGGGAAGGCAGACAAGTCATTTATCCCTCCCCTCCCCCACTACAGAGGAGAAGAGAAAGCTCTACTGAGGCTGATCTGAGTGAAATTGCTTCCTGATCCCAAATATGGCAATTAGTCAGACCCTGAGTAAAGGAGCAGACCCTGCATGAAGCACTGGCACATCCCAGTCAAAATCTCCAGTCTGTCTGCAGCCAATATCCAATGCTTCTGAGGAAGAACAGAGCTCCTGATGCACATAGCAACAGGAGGGGGAAAAAATTCCTTCTCGGCCCCATGTGGCAACCACCAAAGCCTGAAAGCTGAAGAAACCAAACACCCTCCACTGTCCTGCAGCCTGAGGACCACAAAACCACAGCTTATCATATCACCCCTTTAACTGAAGAGCCAGAACTTCCCTTTGTCATCCTATCCCTTCCTTAAGCTTATCCTAGTTCCTTTAGTCATCTTGTACAACTAAGTCAGCTGTGGAGCTTCGTTCTCTTGCTGAGCACGGTCCTGTCTGGTTTCAATTTATTGTGAGCTGCAGAACTCTTCTTGTGATCTCCAAGCAATGCCTGAAGCAGGTTATAAACAGCAGCTTGTTCTCAGTGGCCAAGCAGCAGACAACAGAGAGGAGGTTGAATCTGAAGGTGTGAGTTCACCCTGGCATGTCTCTCATGTGCCACTTTGGGCCCTGCATAAGGAATAGGCATTTTCATTTTTGGATATTAATTGGGTTGAAGTGTGAGTGGCCCCTAGCTGGGCAAATAACTTAGCCCCTGTGTTTGCTTCTCCACAGGCTCTAACTGCAGACTTTTGCAGTTCTAAATTTTTGGCTTCAGCATTTAAGTCCTTCTGAAGATCTAGGCCAGTGGTTGTCAACTGTGGGTGTGTGTACCCCTAGGGGTACTTAAAAGGGTTGTAGGGGGTACGCAGAACTCTGAGTGCAGCAGGTGGGCAACCAGGAGCATAGCTTGGCCACATGGAGAGCAGCCAGGTCTAGCTGGTAAGATTATTGTGGGGGGAGGAGGGGCTGAGGAAGGGGCTGCCCTGCCAGGGTGGGGCGCGGGACTGAGTCGCATGGGGTGGGCAGCTCCTGCCGCTGCGTGCACCCTGGGAGGGCATGGGGGGGCATGTGCCCCTGCATCTGCACACAGGGCATGGCGGGCTGGAGCCACACTGGCCTCTTCCTGGCAGGGGTCTGGGCCAGGCTGTGCTCAGGGCGGGCGGCAGTGGCGCTGGGAGTGGAGCTATGGAGGGGGACTGCAGGCACCTAAAAATCTGCCATTGCCTCCCAAACCTCCCTCCCAGTGCCACCTTTCCCAAGTGCAGTGTGGCCGAACTGCTGGGAAGAGCCCGGTGCAGCCTTCCCCTCCCCCTGCCCCTTCCCCCTCCAAGGGCACGGGGGCTGTGTGCCCAGAAACTGCATGGGGGAGATGGCAGGCTGGTGCTGTGGGCTGGGAGGCAGTGCCAGGCTCTTCCCAGCAGGGGGGTTGGGCTGTGCTACACTCAGGGCAGGTGGCGGCAGTGCTGGAAGAGGGTGCAGCAGCGGGAGCCACCATCCCCTGTGCCCCCTGGATGAGCCGTTTGCGGTGCCATCCTGTGCTCCATCCCAGCTGGGCAGTGTCTGCCCCTGCTCCAGCCCCACTCCCTCCTTCACCATG